TACGAACTGAAACTATTGATGATCCGAGCATGCAACAACTCAAAGGAGTTATCATTCGTGGTTGGCCAGAAAGCAAAAAAGCCCTTCCGATGGACTTACTGCCGTACTTCGAATTCCGAGATGAACTAACTGTGCACGATGAACTGATTTTTCGTGGTGAAAGATTGGTCGTACCCAAAACGATTCAACAAAACGTAACGCGTTTGATATATTGCTCTAACGCCGGTACCAACGGATGCCTCGGTCGCGCCAGGGAGACATTTGTATTGATCGATCTGTGAAAATCCTTCCTGTTAAGCCCAGTCATTTTATCTCGGTTCCACATTTCGTGAATTTTACGTTCCATCCATCAACGGTCTTGGAATGTAGACCTTTGACCATCTTGGTAGCCATTCTGTGGATGTTCAAGTGCCTTCCGATCTCGCTGCAGCCATGGATTCCAGGCCTGAATTGAGTACTCGGTGTATTGACGGATATATGTGGCTAACAGACGTGGAAACAAAGCCGGCTCAAACGATCCAAAAACACGTTTGAGCAGTCCAACCAGTTTTACCGCCATGGATGATGCCGTGGAACGGTTTGTGGAGCAACACAAGTCTGCGTGAATGACTACTCCCAGATCCTTCTCGGATGGAGCATGAGGCAGTTTCGTGTCCGACAGTGTAGGAATAACGACCATTGTGACTTAGTGATAAAACTTTTTATTCGTTAACGTTAAATTCGCTCGAGCCTAAGCCCCATGAACGATGCTGAATGCTCTAACGGAAAGAACTGAATTAATACGGATGAGAATAACGGAGATGGAGACACCGGGGTATGCGTCACCAAAAGAAAACCAAATGGTTATTAAGAAATCAAGTGAGCTTTGGGAGGGGAGAGGTATATTTATTCACTTTACAAAAGAACGTTGAATACAGAGATAATCAAATGGGGGAATTAGTTACTGGAAGTGGTACTGGGGACAGCAATTGGTACATCGAACAAGTCACATGCTCCTTCTGTGTCATCAAGGCTGTAGCTGAAGTCGCACTCGTTCGGAGGTGGGCTTAGCGGTAGCAACGGGCTGACAAGGGCATTTTCTTCTGAAAGATACGGGAGGAAAGCTTAAACAGAATGGAACTACTACACATCGTGGTCAAATGGGAAATGTAAATGGAGTAGAAAACAATACGCGTAAACATAGAGCAACCGACAAAGAACATCACTAAGAGTGGGAAATCAAATGCTCAACCAATTTTCTTTTGGTTGTTTAAAAAACGACTTAACAAGCCTGCATCCTCATTGTTGCTAAACGCAACTTCGAAGGTTAGTAATGTGGTGATTCTCGAAGAACTGGTAAACTGCGTCAACAAAACAAACAAGCAAACCACACAATTTTCAAACAGATGTACACCATCAACAGAACCAACATTAGGATTAATAACTAGCCAGATAAGCGAAGGGGATAAAAGGAACGCTGAAACATCTATGCGGGGATACAATTGGTTTGCGAATATCCGAACTAACTCCTTGTTTATATTTGCTCACACAGAACACCGCGGAAACCAAGTCAAAAATATGCCTCGTACAAGTCCTTTAATCGATAAAACCCGCCAGATAAATCTTCCTCTTGGGAGGGGGAAAAACACAAACGATGCACAGCAAACCCACTCATACCTGCACCTCCGTTGGCCGTTCGGCGACTCAACGTGTCCGCAGTCCCGGTCACTGGCATAACACGGGCCCGGTCGTTGCCCTCCTCTTGATTGACCAGAAGCACATGGATGGGAGTGGTGTAGCTTTTGACATGGACCTTTGTAGCGAAAATGCATCATCAGGTGCATGTGGATGGAATAAAAAGCGTGGCAATAATAATAACGCTACCATTTTAGTACATCAGCGAACACAAATGTATCACAAACCAAGGAAACAGGAAACAATAACATCATCAAATGTGTCGCTAGGTAATTTTACATCATCGAATCACTTTCCATCAGAAAAAACGGCACTGAACATTACTGCTTAACGGACGATAAATCAAACCCACCTAGATGCCATTCGTGCAGTAACTTACCATACCCCAAATAGCAAAACAAGGAAATGTCAAATAATGCGTGTGAAGGTCAACAAACAGTACTTGACATGTGTTGTTGGGACTCTTGACAGTGCGTACTGTATTTTTTCTTGTTTCTACCAGGATTATAACCGCAAACCTTCGGATTGCAAGTTGGAACCCTTACCCCGGGGTAAATGATTGACGGACAACAAATAGGCGCATACAGGTTTGGATTTAATATAACTTTTCTCTAATCCCATGTGAATTCACAGACGCAGGGTCCGTGTATTGGTTTTCAAACGTGAGTTCCATCTGTTGGGATTTCATTCGTCAGAATTCACAAATTATTTGCCAACTAGAGTAACAAAATATGCAGAATAAATACATTTCAAAGGAGTGAGACCCAGAACAGGTTGATGAAACATAATCTGGCTGCGCATTTACAAGGGAAAAACGGGGAAAAACTTTTATGTAGGAACAAACATTGCTAAAATGTAAAGCAAAAACTCCTAGGGACAGCAAAAGATAAAAAAAAATAAATACCTTGAAATAAGAAAACTTGCTGGATGTTGTACGAACATAGGAGATAAGAAAATGGAAAGTATCATACAGTGACAAAGAAAACTAAAAATAAACCCACTGTAAAATACATTCTCAAAATTAATTAGGGGTTCTGTTTCAGAATGTGCATTCCCTAAGTATCATTTGAACGACCTTCATTGTATAGTGGACTTTGCCAATGACTAAACCAAAGTGACTATGCAGTGAGATTAGAAAGCACTACGCCCAAATAGCGATACAACTTCCAGGCATGCAACCAGGACACGGAGATCCCAACCAATCTGGTACAATCAAACACGTCACCTTGATGATCAGATGATGGAATGCAGTCTGAACTGATTTACTTGCATTCACAGCTCGTCTGTACCCTATCTGACTTCTCGATGCTCAGTCTATGTCCAGTCCAGATCCAATGTCGCGTTATCTAGATACTATTTTCATTACCATCACTGTCATTGTTGTTGCGTTGGCACCATGCTTGTTTTCAAGCCGGTGGTAAATATATATATATATATATATATACCATCACAGGTGTCACGTTAAGGAGCTGTACGCCATCAAATCTCGGAATTCGGATTCACATTCATCTGGAGGCGAATAGGCTGAAGGTTTTGAGGTATCAAGCGTACGACAGATCAACATGGAACAGTACATACTAGTTCCGATGCTTGGTGTAAAAAATACAAACAGCTACATACTGCATAGGGCGTCGCGCAGGACAATCAGGACCGCACTAAGTATCTCATTGAGGAGGTTAGCAGTGATAAATGAGCTACTGCTTATGTAGCCCATCTTTGTTTTCTGCATCTAATCCTCTTCTTTACACTCCCCCACCCTCATTCCAAGTAGTGAACCTTCCCCTGATAACTTGTGTCACTTGTCGAAGTTCATTGCCAAGTAGTATAGGTCACGCAATGACCGAATGAAGTGCAGGTTTTGAAGTCTCGTCAACCCCTGAAACTGAGAGCCTTCAACGAGACGTGCAGGTTGGTCGATAAAACTATCTGGTGCATACAGCTGTGTACAAGAAACGCAAATTCAAATTCCCAGCAGTGTAGTAAGCTACTAGAATACCCCGTATTTCCTCCGCACACCTGAAGACCAGGCTAATTCAGTTAGTCAGTTCGGGATAGGTACTTGACTAAACGACGAAGCTCAAGCTTCATCCATTGATTGGATCTCCGTCAACGGTCATTTAAGGAGATTCGGCAAAAAGAGTTGACCAGTATCTAGAAGGGTATCGACACCAAAAGGCGTTCGGTCGCTAGCACCAAGTGCGTTCACGACTTCTAAAATGACGAGTTATGTGAAAAGCTTATCCAAACCATCCGTATGAGCCGCTGATTGGATATAATCCTACGGACACGTGATTGCAACGTTCAGGTTAATAAATGGAGCTCGTCTAAGTCGGTTAGCTCTTCCCCATCAGCAAACAGTTGTGGACTTCGTCAATTCTGTGCAGACCGCAATCTGCATTGACCCGTACCAAATTTCGACACAGCTCACGGAGGGCGATACGGCGCTGCAAAGCAGTAGGTTACCATTAGTGCATGGGGAAGAACAGAATGGTAGGCCATTTTGAACCACATACATTGAGCCTGGTCGCGTATTAGTTCTGGTGCGCTTTGCACATGAACTCGCTGGCCGCCCATAGAACCTGCAGCCTGGGTTAATACATCATCGAACAGATGACCCAGATGGTTGCGCCCCTTATGCGGAAAACCTTAGGCCGGAGCTAGGAACACAGGAAGGTGGCGGAGTAGATCAACAGTGGAATCAAATCAGACATGCAATCCATTCAGTAGAAAACTCAGATAGCGCATCCGAGCCAGCATTTTGACAAAGACATTGGACATCTTAGAATTCAGTTGCCATGGTGGAACGAAAGTGAAAAATTAAAATTTACAAGGATCAACAAAGAAAAAGGTATTTGTATTTGTAACTTTTGTAAGCATATATGCTTACATTTCAGTTAAAAATGTACATTGTTCGTCGCGCAGAATGAAATAAAAATAATCAAAACAAAAGGTAAACAAGGTCGGTGATATACGTATCATGTACAAAGCATTTGACGTAGTTCATTTGAGACCTGTTCCTTTTTGGTGAGTAGTCGGGTCAGGTAGGGTGGTCTGAAACCTCAACTGGGGAAAAGCCATAAGAAAGCCCGTGAAAACTGGTGGATCAAAATATCTATTGAAATGGAAGCAGTCACGGGCTGATATGCAACACCAGACGTCGTTGGATATCGGTCTTTAAGACTATCAGAGGTAGAGAAGACGATAGAACGACAAAACACAACAGCGGAAGATTGATTAGCGGATATGGTATTTCAGTGAACAGTTCTTCTGGCCTGGTGTTAGCGCGGCTTTCCAGCGGTGGCGGCTGGACCTCCGTGGGTGGTGAGATATTAATCCTCAGCAGAAGAAGTACCGTGCGATTCTCAATCGCTAATAAAAAGGATTGATGGCCGGGTCTAGTGGGATTCCACCATTTCACCATTTGGTGACTATCTTATTTTATCTCCACTTGTCTGATCTGGAGGATTCAACCAGTGATTTACTACACAACAATTGGTCCAAAAAGTATATTATCTCAACCGAGAGGGAACTATTTATCGCTCTAACGTTCAACATGGGGTAACCCAACGAAAGAGCAAGGCCCTGTGGTATAAGTTTAGATTAGATCGTCACTATAGTGTTTTCCTCGCCGTGTGACACCTTAGGTGAAACAAATATTACCAAACAGTAAAGAGGGTGTTCGGTGAGCGTGCTCTATTTAGCCGCTCCCATTCAATTCGCCGTAATCGAAATAGTGCAGAGCTCCCTGAATGGTACCCCAAATCTGAAAATTGAGTGGTCACCTGGAGAAAAGCTGTACCATTTCGAACACCCTAATGACGTCGTCTGGCTATTCCGATGAGGGAAAGGATGCTCGAACTGCACTTCACAGACCAACAAATTCCCTTTAATCCAGTCGGTAGGCGCTTTCCACCCTCAAAGTGCAAGCTGTTAATGCAAGACTGGGTATTGTTTATCTCCGCGAAGCTTGATGGTCAAGAATTAGCTATGGTGGCAGTTGTATAACGAATGACGGTAGTTCAATCAAGGAGGCAACCGAACTCAAAGATAAGGCTCGGGCAGTGCACACTGAACAGAAAAGAATCAGGGTAGACGTGACGTTTCACTGAAGATCTGTGGTGTACATTGGGCCACAGTGCAATCAGTTCTGCTTCACCACTGTGAGACCCTGAGTTTGCGTGTAGAAGGCATCCATCGACTAGTGGATTTGGACAATCAGTCTTCCTTATTTTTTCGCGAATTTATAATGGAGTGAGCGGGTAAGGTAACCTCGTATTGAGTCGTCGCGTATTTGGGAATATTATCTTGACATATTCACTAACGAAACACATTAGAACGAACAAGCTTCACTGTTTGGGACACGTATTGCGCATGCCTAGTTGTTGTATAGCCTTGTTGTCTGCCTTGATCTCCGTTACCATTCAGTTAATGGTTGAAAAAAGGAAGCTGTTTTCCGTTACCGTTGTAGGAGTAAAATTACGTGTAGGTAAACAGACAACGTGGAGAAGAGGTATGAAGGAATGGTCAGAGCGATTAGGTCGAGTAGGGTTTCGTGTATTCAAGACTGGAGTCCTAAGTACGCCAGAACTAGTCGATACAAGATAACGAAGGACATGGCAGCAAAACGGTAGGCATGGGAGTGATGAATGAACTCTTCACTGGGTAAGAAGACGTATAGGAAACTGCTGAGGCCCATCTCGGATAGTCCTGATGGTCGGCGCATCAGATTACCAGCACCTCGTGTCCGGATTAGAATCTCAGGGAATACAGTGGGNACAACAGTTGTACACTGCTCTTAACGCTTTTCAGTCTGAATTAACACGTTGAATGCAATTGAATAAAACACTTAATTACTCACGTTATCATTCCTTATTGGGCTTGAAAGCATGTGTATTCACAGTTATACTGTACTGCTACCGAAGTGTGAGTGAATCTGAAAGTTCAGACTCTAAAACTTCCCTCCCCAATCATTAATGAATATCTGATCATAAATGAAACAATGAAAGGATTTCAAGCTAGTGCGTGTATGAACGGGATGTAAAAACTCTATGAAGGCCACCAGCTCAACTACATGGTAAGTGAATGTGGCTACTCTTGATGCGTGAACAAGGCCGCAAAGGTATGAGGTCTAGTTGAATGGACACTGAATTGCGATCAACTGCGGTCCTCTCAAATCCCAGTGCATTGCGGCCCAGGCTTTAGCTAAACAAGCCTCCAGTCTCAAACAGCATCACCTGCCTTGACTTGAACAGCCTAGCACTTTGGGTCCACGGACTGATTGTAGTCCCCAAACACTTTTGCACTAAGATTTTCCTGGTACACGTTATGAAACCCAACCTATGTAAATACGATGTAATAAAAGAAGGAAAAAGATATCTCTTCATGGTTTTCGCTCGTAGTGATAATACTTGTAACTTCATCAAAAGAACTCACACTCAGAGAAGGAAACAAACAAAAGACAGATAATGAGAAACAAGAACCCTGCCGTACATTGAAGACGCTTCGGAAATGAGAGCAAGACAGGAATTCAAGAATTCAAGTCGTCCACAAAATGACGGCCTGCCAACGGACAATTCTATCAAAATCAAAGGACAAAACAATGGAGAGATAAAACCAATGTTAGCTGGGAAAAACTACTAAGACTGCCTAAAACACTATTTCGGACAAACTGGAAGAAAACTATCAACAGGAATCCGTGAACATCAATCGGCAGTCAGGATGCATGGTCTACTATCACTGATTCCTCTCTATGAGGATCAAGAAGGATATCACTTTGACTTCAAATCACTGAGAATCATCGACCAAGTTCCGTCAAAATACGTCAGAAGTTCTCGACGCTTGGCACTCTTTAATCAACTCGGTGAACACACACGTCGAATTGGATCACGTGTAGATGCAAATGCAACTCCAGAATCAAACCATGCAACAAAAGGTCACGTTGTGATTGTGAGAACGAACCAAACTCCGCAACCCAGACAAAAGAACACCCCCCCCCTCTCGCACGTTAGTTCAACGCGAACTAGGTTGAGCATGAGGACAAAAAATGGTCGTTGAAGAACATATATAAGCGAACGAGTTCAAGCATAACACCGCCACTTCACAAACAATGAAGGTGTCACCTCGGCTGGTGATGAAAAGCTTGCAAACAAATTACCAAGCTCAGTGGATAGGAGGAAATGAATTCAGTTTACCCGAGCCACAAGAACCAATTATCAATAATAGCTTATGCCAAACGAGAAGAGAAAGTGAAACGAAGAGAGATTCGCCGTTGTCGAAATTTGTTTACGCAACCAAAGAATCAAAATTTCAAATTTTCAACGGCTCCTTAGACATGATTAACGATGTTCTAGCTTGACTTTATTAGTAGGTTAAACGTGTAATGCCAACGCTTCGGAAGCGCTGTCCATCTGTTTTGTCTTTGTTAGGAATAACCAGCAATATTGTGATGAGTTGAATCGGAAAGTGTCCAGCCGATCTCAGCGGTTAATTTTATATCGGTATTACAAGAAATAGCACCCATTCGTCCGTCCTCATACTGCGCGCATTCAAAGCAGTGGTTTATTCCATTGACTGAGTACACAACGTTCAGTTCAGTTCGTACAACCAATAACCATGAACTATCGTGCGTCGATCTACTGAGCATGTTGGCTAAGTTAGCGAATAGTAGGAGATCAAGCGACTCACTGCAATGAAAACACTCACGGTGAGGAGCACAGAAGATGAAACTCCATCAAAAATGTGCCCGATGCGAAGGGTATTATCGAAAAATAACAAAGAACAAAATGTCAAGGGTTGTAACTAGATTTAAGGGAAAAACACTACAAAAGCTGACCTTGTACGAACTCTTCAAAGAGAAAAGTGATTGGACAGGTTGTTCACCCGGATTCTCTGGAACTGGGGCTTCAAGACGTGTGCCCGGTGGGGCACGGATCACAAGCATGGTGCGATCTTGGAAGATATTAATCAGATCTTGATGCGTCACATATGCGTATTGCAAATTATCCAAATCCTCTTGAACATTTTTTAACGATTGGAGAACTTTGGATTTGTGTTCATCGACTTTCTTTTCGAGATTTTCTAAATACTCCACCTCTGCTTGAAGTTCATCTAGACGGGCCTGGATATCTGGCCCGTTGGTTGCTGCACTTCCACCTCTGATGGGGGGAAACAAATGCATACATGAGTGAACATAGATGTATAAATGTAGTTATAAAAATCACACCGCGAACAGGTTTGAAAGCTAAATGCTTGACAATAAATCCAATGTGAACAAACTGCGACAGAGCAGAGAGTATTGTAATCGAAGAACGAGGTGTGCTCGATGCATCAAGAGGGCATAAACGGCTCGTGCAATAAGCGGTGATACACATAGTTCTTTCGTAAATGTACATTCTACGGCGAAGCTCATTGGTGAATGAAATGTACTCCTGAGATGAATTTAATAACCTAATAATAACTATTCACCTGGGAGGTATGTATTTCATCCAATTCCTTGTCTTTTGAATTCGATGGAACAACAGCTTTCAGAACAGAAGGATTTGTCATCCAACGTCGACCGAGGTGCGCATAGACACACTGGTGATTAAATGAAGGATACGTCATGCTACCTACGTAAAAATGATACAGCGGAGTGCATACTAACTAGGAACAAATGCGGGAAGAAAATTTTATTCCAGCTGTCTGATCAAGTTACTAGCAAATTTACAACCACTTGCTAACCTCCACGGGGTTTCCTCCAGCCCAAAACGGAACTCCATGGTCAAAAATGACGCGGAAGCCAGACATGACGAAATGGACAAAACTATGTGAGACCAAATAATCATTGTCTCATTGAATCGAATAAAAAAATGGAAATACGCAATAATGTGTGGGGAACTAAGAGTGGACTTACTTCCATTGTATACTATTCTTTGTCCGTTTCTCTATTAATCCAATGCCTTCTAAGACGTTAGTGATGTCGTAGATACGACGCTTCTGACGTACGGCCAAGAAGTCTGCGGCCTAAAGAGGTTCATCCATTTAAACACCAAGACGTACCATTTTCAAATCTAGAATTCCATCCGGAGCTTCTTTTAATAGCTGCACAAACTTTTCGGTGAGCAGTCCCAAGCTCTTCTCGTGACGGTTTAAGTCACGAAAAGACTGTTGCTCCAACTGATAGTCATTAAACATCATTCCTTGATTTGTGAACATCATGGAGGAGGAGCTCTGAGTGCTGGAGCGATGTAAAGAAAAGTGAAGGAATTCAGGAAAGGTAATAGCAACCTGGGATTAAAATAGCACTTGAAAAACACTGACAGTGGTTCGAACGATCAAAAATCATGACAAGTCATCTCAGAAGTAAATGAGGAAATTCACAAGTATATGTGAAGTCAGAAATGAGCTCTCGTAAACACGAATCTACTGTTCAAGGAAGTGTGATTTCATATAGATTTAAATCCACAGGTAGCCAGAATAAGTTATGTGAAGTCATGCCTTTTAAATTTGATGAAAAGCAGAAGCAGTAAAGACCACAGTTATAAGTGACAGTTTTGCAGTTACGGTTATCTGCGATCTAAGCCCCGGAATTTGGAGTGAAGAGAAATAGTGTGGGGAAGTGAGTAAACGATCACGGGTTGGAAAAAAGTCGGAAGAGCACGTCGGCAAAAGTTTATGGGTCATAAAAAACTGAGTGGAAAAACCTTGATTAGAAAGGGAGTATCTATGACACTGGGTTTGTGTTCGGTCGCGTGCGTGCCCGAGAAGGAAGAGCGGTTCAGAGAAGTGGTTATCGATCGATATGGAACTGCCTGAGGCAGTTTTGATGGCGAGACACGTTCTTGGTAGCAGCTGCGCTAATCAGGACTGTGGGGGCAACTGACTGTTGTCTTTATTAAGAATGAAAGGGATACATAATCAGTTGGAAAAAATTATAGTCTGAAGTATTTGGAGCGAAAGTGGCTAGGATCATCACTGTAGGACAAAAGTTCATCATGCTCCTCTAAAAAGACTCATAATTGACTCTCGCAGAGACATGCATTGAATGAGAACTGCAGTTTCGTGAACAAGCTATTTTGTGGATAAAGTTTTGCGAAATAACCGTCCGAGGGAAAGACTTTTAAGCGCAGAGAAGAAGCCAGTATGCATTTCTCTCATTCATAGGGGATACAATCGCGGGATTGGTTAGGTAAAAACTATGAACTGCGTTGGAGCATACTTTTCACGCGGCAAAATTACGTGTCGTACTCACATCCAGACCGATCTTGTGTTGGCAAGTCAAAGACAGGATTCCTGCTTCTGCAGTCTCATGTGGTGTCTACCTGTTTACCTGTTCCTGTGGAGCGACGTATATCGGTCGCAAGAGCAGGCGCCTAGCTACACGAGTTCGGGAACATCATCTGACCTGGCTGAACACTGGTATGATTAAAACTATTACACGTGCTATTGTTCCACACACAGTGAGCGTGACTGAAGCATTTCGGCCTCTCTAGTGTGCTTGGGGTCGCAGATCAAAGCCGATTAAAACACGCATCCTAACCACCACAGAGGTGGTTGGAATTCGTTTACATAAACCCCTTTGTGCGCACAAAAACAATTTCTGAAGTCACTCAACTCACCATGGCCCTCCACCTCCCATCTTCATCCTCCTCACCCTCCGAATCCCACCCCAACTCACACAAGCAACACGGGCCAAGCATCAGTTCCGACGGTAGGATCAGCCATATACGATTGTGTGAAATTGGGACAGAAAACAATAACAATCCCCATTCGGATAACCATTAATTTTGTTTCCTCTTTTCTATATAAAATGATGTTAGATAAAATGTGACGTATTAGTCAGTTGGTGAGTCACCGATAAAAGCTTTTTCGCCAAACTGTAGTTATCATTGATAATTGAACTGCAAGGTTCTACTTTGGAGGAAATAATACATTTGCGCGTGGAATCCAGAAAGATACACCAAAATCTCATATCAAAGAGGGCAAGAAAAAATGTATTTGGAGACCTGTGATCACAATAGCAATCGTTTAGTCTAATTTGTCATTCAAACACACCGATTTCATCTTATTTGGAGAGAATGAAACACAATCAAATAGTAGAGTTCCTACTGTATTTCCTGCACATATACTTCTAATTGAATCACTAACCTTTAACTCTCCTGTTTAGCAATACACAATTCCACGAACTGACATCATTTACGTAGGTGCCGTGTTCGCAGTACATGGTCAGTCACGGATGTGTAGTGTTTCCTAGGGTTTGAGGTTCGAATCTGACCACCACTTTCCTGCCATCTGGCTCGACATCAGGCCAAACTAAGTGGTTCGTACCGGGGACGAGGTTTTCGGTTTCCATGAACGAACAACAGGTGCCGGTGGCTGGGATTTACCCCGTCTCAGATTATCACACAAGGATGTTATAAAACAATGCGAANCTTGGAGATCAGGCACCCGATTAAAGAACATGAATACCGAGAATTTGTTAAATATTGTTTCCCTTTGGAACTTGTGTTTATAGGAGATGAGACTTATTAAATGAAGATAAAGTAGAAAATGCAAATCATTCAGGCACTGGCTTACTAAATCGGCTGTGATGGGCGCACACTTAAAAATATAATCAAGAAATATCCAAAAAGGTATTGAGGTCATCATCA